ATATCCGTATTTTCAATCTAGTACCGAAGTACTAGGTTACTGGGCTGTAGAGACCCTCGGGGACTAACAGTCCACCAGCAGAGGCCTCGACCCAGGGGTCATAATACAAATCATATACGGTACCAATTTCGATACAATGATCTTGTTAGCACATACAACATACAACCTATCATTGAGTGAAATGCTGATTGATGATTTTCATACCAATTGTTAGGCCATTATTTATACACTGAACTGTCTACGGAATTTTCCGCTTTTTTCCGATCATGACAGGGAGCACACGGCGGGTGTGACCGGTCGGCAGGGGATGCTCACTCCTCCATGGCACCTGATCCCACCTGTATATTTTGAGGTCCGTTTTTGCTCTGTTCCAAATTTATATCGTTTCATTGGACTTTCGAGATTGAATACTGTTCGTTATCTTCATATTTCACAGAAAAGGTATGGCAGTAGGAGAGTAGGGCGGGGAGAGATTATGCCCGTTAGAGAGTAGGAAAGGAAGAATGTAGGGCGGTCAGTCAGAGAGAAGACCAGGAAAAGAGTATGACAGTTAAAGGGTATGGAAGAGAGAGTAAAGGACAAACAGATTAGGGGAGGGAGTGTAGCACAGTCATATAGTGGGGTAGGGAGAGTGTAGGAGGGGAGAGAGAGTGAAGGGCAACCAGAGCGTTTGTCAGTGGAAGTGTAAAACATTCAAAGAATATAGTAAGGATATCGATGGTGTGGGACAGATATTAGAACAATTAAGGAAGATATTATAGCAATCAGAGAGTAGAGGATGGGAAGTATAGGGAATTTTGAGAGCATGGCAGAGAGTAGGACAGAGAGAAGGTATGTCAGAAGGAGAGTATGGTCGGGAGAGTGTAGGTCAATTAGAAAGTAGGAAGGTGAAAGTTTGGCAGTAAGAGAAAAGAGTGGGGAGAGTACAGGGCATTCGTAGAATAAGTGATGGAGATATTCTTTTGGCAGTCAGAGAGTAGAACAAGGTAAAAGTCTGGAAGTCACAAAGTTGGACAGAGTATAGAGCAGGAAGTGTGTAGGACAGGAAAAGTGAAGGATTATCAGAGATAAAGGCAGGTAAAGGTATGTAAGGGAGTAGGGTATGAACAAAGTATGACAGAGGTAAAGCAGGGAAATAGTGAGGCAGTCAGGAAGTAGGGCAGGGAGAGAGTATGGCAGTCAAAGAATAGTGCAGGGAGATTGAAGGGCAGTCAGAGAGTAGGGCAGGGAGAGGATATGGCAGTCAAAGAATAGCGCAGGGAGATTGAAGGGCAGTCAGAGAGTACGGCAGGGATAAGGTATGGCAGTCAAAGAATAGTGCAGGGAGATTGAAGGGCAGTCAGAGAGTAGGGCAGGGAGAGGGTATGGCAATCAAAGAATACTGCAGGGAGATTGAAAGGCAGTCAGAAAGTAGGGCAGGTAAAGTGTATGGCAGTCAGCGAATAGGGCAAGAGGGGGTTTGACAGTCAGAGAGTACCACATGGATAGGGTATGACAGTCAAAGAATAGTGCAAGAGGGGGTTTGATAGTCAGAGAGTACGGCAGGGATAGGGTATGGTAGTCAAAGAGTAGTGCAGGGAGAATGAAGGACAGTGAGTCAGAGGGTAGGATGGACAGAAGTGAAGGCAGACAGAGTGTAGGACAGTTAAGCAGACTTTAAGACAACTTGCTTTTTCAATGAAGGCGGAACTCGTAACTTTCATATTTTGTAATTGGTCATCTACAAAAATACTCTATCAAAAACCATTCTGATTCTACAGAGAAGCACTCTTATGCTGATATCAAAAGGATGCTGGCGTTTCTCTTTGACAATATCTATGTAATTTTGGAGCCTTAGGCTTCCAACAATCTGCTGAAAATCCCATGGGTGCTAATTGTGCCGTTTATTAACAGACCTGTTTCTGTATTCTAATGAAGCAGTATTTATTCAGAAACTTCTATAAAAAAAAAAAGAAGTCTCTTGCTCTGACCTTCAATTTGACATTTAGATATATTGAAAACGTTTCATCAATTAATATTCATTTTCCTTCATACGTCTGATATATCCATATATGACACCACAGAGTCTGATACATCTGCCGCATACTTGGATGTTTTATATAGAAAAATTGATGGCAAACTAACAACTAATCTTTATGATAAACGTTAAGACTTCAACTTTCCTATCGTCAACTTCCCTTACTTGTGTAGCAATATACCATTATCACCTGCATACTGGTTTTATGTCTCCCAGTTGATTCGTTACGCAAGAGCATCAATTTCTTAACCTAGACAGGCCTCTGACAAATAATTTGATGTTACAGGGATTCCAATAACCTCGTAAATAGTCAGTATGTCGTAAATTCCATGTCCTTTATAATGGCCTTGTTAGCAATTATACAATCTATCTTTGGGTCGTATTTGAATGACATAATTCATACCTATTGTTAGTCCTTTGTTTTTATACTAAATTTGCCTTCGGATTATTTTGTCTATTTGATCAATACGTAAGGCTCACGGCGGGTGTGACTGATCGACAGGGATGCTTATTCCTCCTACGCATGTGATCCCACTTCTGCTTTGGTGTTAATTAAGGATTATTTACATTTGCAAATATTTTTCTTAGATGAACCTATTGAAAAGAAAATATGTACAATTCTGTATGAACTTATTAGGGGGTCAGAGGTCATGGCGTGACCGAATCACACAGCGAGATGATATCTTGTTTACATATTTCTGTCACGGTGACACTGGTTTCGGAACTTCTAAGCCGTTAAAGCGATGAAAAAGATATAATTATTGAAACATATTATTATATGTTTTTTTCGTTCAACAAATGATCATTAGTTCTTTCTTCGGTGTGAAGAATGTGTTTAATTAGCCTAAAATCACACTTACCTTTTTAACCCGAAATTCCTTTGAAGGTATGTAAACTATAGACGATACCACCGCTTTTGACTTCATATATTTAGAACTCATACAATAAAAATAAGATCATTCTCAGTAGCGATCATGGTTTTTTTCATTATGAACAGATATTTCCTGAACTGGACTGCTGAACATCAATGTAAGTATTCAAATCTTGGAGCGAGGCGAACTCTAACGACCAAACAGCTTCTAGGTCATTGCGCGTCACCATCCGGAACACCTCGGGCCTTTCACAGAAAAACACTGTTTTTCTGTGAAAGGCCGAGGTGTTCCGGATGTGCGCGTCACAACATAGCAATACGGCGGGCCGTTCGTGTAATAAATGCAGTTCTTTTCAGAATTTTCGTCTCAAATGTAAATAAAAGTAATAAACAACAATGTTAAAAAGTTCTCTGGGAAATGAACTTGGTTGGTCACGTGATCAAATCCTGTGAAGCCCGAAGCGGTTTATAAAAAAGTGTAAACTGTTCCAACCCACCTTATACCGTATAAACTGGGTAGCTATTAATTTCATTCCTTATAATTTAATTTTCATTCATTTAGTGTAAGAAAAAAGATGATAGTCCTCAAAAAATGACTTAAAATTGTACAAAATTTATGTCACCGGGTTCACAGGTGCGTGAAAGTCAGTCAATATATCGGGTCTCAATAGCTCAGTGGTTAGAGCGCTGGCACGGTACGCCAGAGGCCCTGGGTTCGAGTCCCGGTTGAGACTTGATTATTCACCACCTGTGACATTTGGCGCCCAACGTACAAATACCCACTATTCCCTTGGAACATGCCTTACTACTTGTAGGAGTAAGCATTTCCTTAACTCCTAGAATTCGAGGACGAATTTCTACAAAGAGGAGGAATATGTCACCGGGTTCACAGGTGCGTGAAAGTCAGTCAATATATCGGGTCTCAATAGCTCAGTGGTTAGAGCGCTGGCACGTACGCCAGAGGCCCTGGGTTCGAGTCCCGGTTGAGACTTGATTTTTCACCACCTGTGACATTTAAATGTAACGTCAGGCGGATCGATACGTTTTTGACGCAAGTCATTGTGACGTAGGCAACCCAATTTATACGATATAAAGTAATTTTTTATCCAATCAAATATCGCGTTATAACCAGAAATAAATAAGGGGTATCAACAATTTCGTTGAAAGTCAACATTTCGCAAATTCCATGGTCGATACAATAACTAACTTTGTTTGCAATTACCTTGTGCAAATACAACACGTCGTCAGGTCTAATGTTGGCTGACGTTTTTGAGACAAATTGTTAAGCCATTATTTCGATACCGAATTGACTATGGATTTAATGAATTTAACTGTTTACCCGATCATGACGGAGGGCTCACGGCAGATGTGGATTGCTTACTCCTCAGTGACATCCTACTGGTCAGTGAAGTTTTCAGGAGTCCGTGATCTGTATTGTTTATTTGGACATTTGAGCATGATTACTGTTTATTATTTTTATTTTTTATCAACGAAATTAACAAAAGATTTTACTCCAGCTATTAAAAACAAAGCATACAAGTTATTACTATAGTAAATCAAAGTTCCATAGACTTAATTCACAATAGTAAAGTATTTCATTACTGGGTAAGCGGAATTTTCGGCACTAGTAAACTAAGCTTTTCTATACAGTGTAGGATTCTTTGTTGATGTCATCTCAGGAACTACAGGAACAAAGTTGTCATTAAGAAATAGTAACTGGGATCATTAAATAAAATTTTTCATCTCAATCAGGAACCACTGAGTCAAAAGAGACGAATCTCATGTGAAAGCATAGCTCATGGTTCCAGGATTGGCCAAATATCGCATATATTTATGACTTTTTAAAGGAATAGTCTCTAAGGTCTGAACACTATTTTTATAAGCAATAAATTAGCATGCACATGTGTGAAATACATTATTAGGACAATCCCTCATAATTGCAAGCTTAAAAGAAGTGTGCTGATTAACAGAATCAATAAATATTATCACCCATCTGTGAAGTCTGTTTACTGCCCTCATTATTGCTCGGCATGATTTCCGAAGATAGCCGACTCAGCAGGAAGATGCTGACCATCTTATCATTTTCACTTTGGATGCTTAAAGTAGCAGAGAATGGAGACAGAAGAGGTAAGTTTTTACATTTAAAGCTTGAAGAATCTTAAAATTATACTGAAAAAGTTTTATTTACATTTATATTTCTCTTAATAAACACACCTCATTTGAACAGTGACCTCCAGCAGGTTATAATATGTGAGGGGCCTAATAAGGGTTTACTAATCAATGAACAACACTAAAGTTAGTATAGTTATGTTGATGGTTTTCTGTTTCTGATTGAAAAAAGACATAGAAAATCATGTTAAACTAACAAAATCCCCCTTTCTATCATAAATTTACAAAAATAAAATAATAAGAGTGGAAAATTTTAAACTAGAACTGTCCAAAACGGACAAATACCCCCCGCTGGGTTTTTCAGAGGTGCCAAATCACTAATATTTTATGGATCTAAGAAGTGTTTTCTTATTTACATTTAGAGGGAAAAAATAATTGCTCATTATATTTTTTTTAATGAATGAAACCAAGGAACAACCTAATAAAACATCAATACCAATACATTGTAGTTACATTGTTTTTTAATACATTGAAAAAATAAATTGCAACTATCTGTCATCTTTTTTAGACATGATATTCTGCATTGATTGTTGAAAAAAAAATCAATTAATTACAAAATCAAATTAATCTTGATAACTTTATATCAAATTTATTTTAAAAATGAAAGGCTGGGCATCCAGTATATGACAGACAATAAATTACAATTAAGAGAATTAAAGAACAGAGATCTTTAAATTCCCAGGAGATATAGATAACACACGCTTGATCAGAGATTCCCTAACAACTTCCCACACTGAACTCATTAATTTATCTCTAACTGGATGATGTCCACTCATTAGTCCCAAGGGACAAATGGATTTACACTATCTGCTGTGTAATGTAAAAATTGTTTTTAATACTTGGTGATTTTTTTTTTGTTTTTGTTTTAATGAATAGTTTTAAGCTGTAGTTCACATTTTTGTACAGATGTTCTAGATTCTGTGTCTCAAACCTTAGAAATAAACCCAAAATGACTAAGTCAATCAAAATGAAAAAAAAAAAAATCTGTAAAATGCAGAAAAATTATCAAATAATTTTGAAAATACCAGGTGCACATCTTCATATGGTAAATAATGAGTGTACAAATTTTCATACAATTCTATGAAATAGTCTTTGAGTAAAGGTCAGGACAAAACCACATAATAAAAATGAAAAAAAACACCTGTAAAATGCAGAAAAATTATTCAATCATGATGAAAATACCAGGTGCACACCTTCATATGGTGAATAATAAGTGTACAAATTTTCAGACAAATCTATGCAATAGTATCCGAGAAACGCTCAGGACAAAATCTTGTCTACAGACAGACGGACAGACAGACGGACAGACAGACGGACATGGTGATTCCAATATACCCCCCCCTAAACTTCGTTTGCGGGGGGTATAATAATTAACACTTAATAATTGGAATTACACACCATAAGTAATTCTTGAATTAAAATTTCAAAGACTTCCAAATCTCAAATTTGAAATAGAAGTTGAGCTTTTAAGTCTTGAATTTAAAATGTTAATTTATGTACATTTTACAAAACATGTGAACAACTACAGACATGCATTTATATATCTATTAAAAAAAACTAGCCTGCTCCTAATTAACTGTATACCTATAATGCTAACAAAACGATTAAAATAATGGAATTTAATATATAGATTTTAACAAATGCCAATTTAAATGTAAATTAATTTAATTAAAATTGTTGAGATTTTGCCATTATAATTTTTTTCACATTTGAAATATTGAGCAATTGAGGATATATATATATCAATATGTATTTTATGTTTATGAATGATATTACTTTAATCAACATGTATTTTATTTTTATGAATAATATTATGTTTATTTTAGAATTTCAATCTATCGAGACAGAGGTCTTCCTCCCCAGAATCCTCATCCTCTTCAGATTCGGTAAGGGGAAGGGGACGTGGCAGAGGACGTGGGAGAGGAAGACGCCCAAGGGGAGTAAGGACAAGAGGTGGGAGAGGTGGAAGAGGTGTAGGTGCCCGCAGAAGAATCACCCAAGAAACTGTTGCTGAAAGACTTGCAGCTGAAAGGGAGCAGAGAGATGCTCATCTTAGGGTAAATTTTGATAAGTTGATAAGTCAAAATAACCTTCATTCATACATACAATGTATACAACTCATTTATAGCTTGTTAAGATATATATATATATATATATATATATATATATATATATATATATATATATATATATATAATTATATATATGTAATTTATCAGAAAAGTATAATTATTCTAGGAAACCATATCTAACCTTGAGGAGCAAAACTTGAGGAACCTTGTTCAAACAATATGCAACAGGGACCCAACATTTGTTTTTGATATTTTGAATGAGGCATCTCAAAATGAAAGAAGACAAGGGTACCACCCACAACCATCAGATGGCATTCCTAGCTGGTGCACTTGTGACCACTGCAGAGAGATGCCATCCGAAATTGAGAAACTCTATTGTGGACAAACTCCAACAAATTGCTTTTCAATTGTTCCAGTAAGAAATTCAATTTACTGATATACAGATGAATGAAGTTTAAATTTTACAAATTTAAGTGTATAGATTAACTCATCTAGTATTAATTATCTTTCCAGGCTTTCCAAAGGGTTGTCCTTGATGACCTTGTACTAATTGTTGCAAGGCGTTACCGCGAGGACATATTTGCTGCTGCCCCTGATGCAGATATTAACAGAGGGAACAGGCATGCAGCTTACAGACAATTTATCCTTTGGCATCATGGTCACCTAGGTGCAAGAAACCGAAGGGTGATACCTAGTTGTTGTGTCTGGAGAATAAGGGACAAGTTCCCGGATGCGTTTGGCCAGTATAGAGGTTTCATTGGAGGGCGACTAGGATAAAGTGAGTTAACAACATTATCCTAACTATATGTAATCAGTATAAAATGACTCAACAAATTTTAAATCTTAAATAGTTTTATTTTACATGTAGAAGTAATTGTTAATAAAAACGTCAATTGTCTCTTTCTTGTTTTAGAAACCTTGACTTCTGCTCTACAACAAGCTGTTCAGTTGGAGGGGGTGGGAGTGGATCCAGATGGGATGACAACCTTCTTGGATCATCTGCCTCCAGCACCACGGGTTGGTTCATCCCTACTTCATCCGACACTCTTGACAATAGAATCTTCTCTTGCAGAGATGGGATATATGAAAATGCTTTCTTCTCTTTCACAGGATGAACTGCCCATCTTCCACTTTTTTTGTTATAGCTCCTCTGATATCTGAAATGAGTGTATTTTGTAAATTTTGTCTTATTGTTCATGTTGTTTTTGTTTAACTGTTACAGTCAACAATAAATACGGGCCAGTGTTCATATATTGCTTACTGTGTTGCTCCATCTTTCTTGACAAGAACGTTTCTATTTATATGGTGGTTATGGTCCAAGGCAGCAAGTCGATTCCTGCACCTATATGAAGGTGGGTTGTAGGAGTGACGCTTGGATGCATATGCATTCACTACGTTCTGGAAATTCTCAAGTTCTGCTGTGCTCCTATAAAAGACAAGAATGTGTTAATAATTTTTTTAACATAGTTCTTTAGCAATATAATAAAAAGAACTTACATTAGGCCATCATTAAAAATATCTTTGTTTCCCCTAACCCGACCCTAAAATTTGAAGTTGGATAGGTAGGTAGGTAAATAATTTTTTTCTGACAGCAGCTTTGAAAATACATTCTGAATTTCTGATAAGAACGGGTTTTCATGAAATTGTATTTTATAAAAGTTGATAAACATTAAAAAAAATATTTGAATAATCTTCTTTAAAACACTTTTCAGTCGGCGGGATTTAATTAGGTCGTTAGGGGAAACAAAAGTATTTTTTATTTTGGCCTTAATTATTTCCTGTATAAAACTGACCTGCAGTTAAGATAGTAGGTCACATTGTTCTGGAGACGTTTGTCTAACACAATTTCCCGAAGAGCCACATGAGCTGGAGAATCCTTTTCTAACCACCCTTTTGTTCGTTCTTCAGTCAGTGGTCCATGGTTGCATTCGTTAATGTCACTATAGGGCAAAACCCATGTGTGAACATTAACTGTGTGATGGAGGATTCCTATCCAATTCCCCTTGAAAAGTAAAATCTATTTTAGACCAATTTTCATAATTATATGCAATGCTTTTGCAAGGTGTATATATATATATATATATATATATATATATATATATATATATATATATATATATATATATATATATATATCATTTGGAAACTTACAATAAACTCCTCCTTTGTGTTTGAGATGGTAGCTGTGTACCAGTAATGGTTGACAACATCTTTTGTCCATGATAGGATATCTTTTTGGTTTTTCTGCTGACCTGCCTAAAAGATATGAATAAACGCACTGCACAAAAATACATGTATTTCAAAAGATTTTCAATTATGTTGTTTGAAGATTTAATATTTAAATATAAATAACAGTATACAAATATGCTTGATTAAAAGTTACCTTGATGATTTTCTTGCCTAAGTTTTTCGTCCCATGCCAAATATCAAAAGAATGTCTTATGTCTGGGAAGTCTTTTTCTGCAAAATTAACAAATAAAGACCATTTTCATTTACCTCATTAATCTACATGTACATGTATGCCTCTGTTAAATTTTTAAACAGATGATTTACTTATACATGTAGTAGTATATATTGGTTGTTTTGTTTAAACTTACTCATTACTGAGGCAACTTACACATGAACATCTGTAACAACTTCACTAATATGAAGTCCCTTGACCATTTTCATTTACCACAAAAATCTATATGTACATGTATGCCTCTGTTAAATTTTTAAACAGATGATTTACTTAAACATGTAGTAGTATATATTGGTTGTTTTGTTTAAACTTACTCATTACTGAGGCAACTTGAACATGAGCATCTGTAACAACTTCACTAACAAGCTTTCTCAAGATTTGTGCTTTTTTTCTCTGTCACTCGCTTGTCCATAGTAATTATGTGCAAAATGGTCTTGGTGTCATACTCCATGAATGTATAGGAGCAATATTGAGCAGTGTGACCGGGGCTATCCATTCTGCCATCTCCTTTTATTAAAAAAATTAAACATGTATGAAAAAAATAATGATGAATACATCTATGTGATAAATTAAAACATTAATGCTATTGGCATTTTTTCATGAACTTTTTGCCCATAATTTCTTTGGTGTAACTTAAAAGATATCTACCAAGTATTGTTATATCTCTTCCTTGAAACTGGTTAAACACAGTTTCCTGATGTTCTGTCCAAAATTCATCCACTGCTGGAATCAAGTACGTTCTTTGCATTTTATAAAATGAGTTTTTGCTCACAATCGGTAATTTCATAAATTTGGCCATCATTGACACTTTCTGAAAATTGCTTCCAGAGAGTAAGATGGAAGAGGAGAGTGTCAAATCCCCTAAATGCATTCCTCTGTTTAAGATAGGCTGTGAGCACCACTGCTGTGCTTGATGTCCATCAGAACAATTCTACAAATAAACCATATGATAATAATTTGTTTCCAATTAATGATGCTTAATTAAAACATGAGATTACAAGGTAATTTTTTTTTTACATACCCATTTTAAATAGAGTGCTGACCCAACAACAGCTTTCTCCAAATGCACTGGTTTTTTGCATCCTTTAAGCTGACAGTTTGGCAGGACACATAATTCAGCTAATGTTAGTAACTGAGAGAGGTAAACAATGAAAGGATGATCTTCCTTACAGCCCTCAATTTCCTCTTGAGTTAAAATTTTGGCAATCCCCGGGCGTAGATTATCATTTGATTCCTCATCACAGCTATCCTCGTTCTCTGAGTCCTCAACCATGGCTTCAGTCTGAGTGTCCTCTCTTATGACAGTGATTAAAATTTTTTTTTAATAATTGTAATGTTAGGCAGTATATTGAAAGTATTGAAATATGAAGATAAATTACAAATTATACTGGCTTAATGACAAGGTGCCCTTGCAAAACATACCTAATCGTCATTATGTAACTAGGCTCATAATCTTCATCTGATGAATCCTCCGAGTCCTCGTTGGTGTAGTTTTCTGATAAGCAGATTGAGAGACTACAAAATAAAATTTACATATTAAGATGAACATGGATTATGATAATTATTCCAATATGAATACAATGACATATATCAGTAATAACAAATATTATTTAAAGGTATTTTGATGCATATCAAATCTTATAACCAAGGAACCAATTTTTATATGATATCTATGAGTTAAATAATTGTACTTACTCTGAAGGATTCAAGAAACTGCTTGGAGTTTTTGTTTTCATATCAGTTTTTACAAACTGCTCTATACCAGATAAATTTGAATTTCTAAAAGTAGAAACAAAACACCTATACATGTATATTAATATATCTTTCAAGAATGATGATGAGATATAACTCAGATTTTAAAGAACATTTTAATTTAATTGCCAATCTTGTTTCTGTACCTGTCCCCCTTGTCCAGATCTGAAGATATTTCAGAAACATCTGAAAATTTGGGTGGGAAAATTGTAGCTGCATGTCCCGGTGTTGGTGTTACTGCACTTAATGCAGTTTTCACCTTCTTGGGAGAACTTTCAAATGTCAAGGTTTCATTCCTATATAAACAAAATGTATGTTCATATACATTGTAACATTAGTTCATTTGAAATATTGATTTACTTATTTTAATTTCAATAAAATATCAGTACTATTATCTAAAATCCTGCATATATAGCATTATATTACACAAACAAAATTAATAAAGCAGCAAGTTTTATCTGTCTTTTATTTACCCCATCGCATTTGCTTCACAATGAAAGTGTACCCCCTGAGGGCCCCTATCAGCTTTCCCAATTTGTTTACATATTGTTTACATTTGTTAATCAGCTTAATCCCCATTTTCTCTCTAAAATATTGCAGTTTTAGATAAAAATAACAGATAAAACTCATTTCTTTTACTAAATACTTGTACTGAAATCAAGATCTATTTAGCAGTTTTTGTGGAAATGAACATTACTTACCGATCAAGCAGGTACTCTGCTACATCAGCATGAGTTTTAAGCTGCAGCGTCTCTTTTAATTCCATCCAACGATCATACTGACCACCTATAGCTATTCTTCCTTGATTATATTTTGACACAACCAAACTTCTGTTTCGTTTTCTTGCTGAATCTGTTAAAGATCGTTTTCTCCCACGTGTTGATCTCTTCTCCTCCGACATCTTCGGCTACTCTGACCTCGGTCAGGGATGCGCAGTTTGTTTTACGAGCAGGGTCAGCAGGGGTCTTCGTGAATGGACCAAAGATAAAAGCCGAATTTTTGTGTGGATGATAAAAATTCAATCCGGCAGTTTGTTTATTAAATAAGTGATAGGTGAGGCACTCTGTTGAGTGCAAAGCTTGGCAGATCAGCATTATTTGACAAGGTCTGTTAAACCAAATGCAGAAAAAAGTATATTATTTTGTTTAAATAAACCTTAGAGACTATCCCTTTAAAAAAAATTCTTCTAAAGGACAGCAGGAACAAATTTAGTTCTATTGAATAGCAAGATAATCATGCATACCCATTTATTGCAAATTCAAAGTTTACAGCATCTCTCTGTTTTAGCAGGGGCAAAAGTAGGGGATCGATAAAGGTTTCTCATATAAATGTCTAGGATTTTTTATAACCTTAAGAACAGCAAAACTATCTAGGTCATTCAACGTATAGTTTATTTAAATTTCATTGAATACTGGTCTCCAGTGTGAGAATAGGGATCAGAGGTTACAGTAGAATTTTTTTCAGAATTTCTTTTTAAGAACATAAGAGACATAATAATTCATTTCAATTTGTCGTCAATTCAGAAACCAGTTTCTTTAGGTCCTAATGAGGATTTAAAGTTTTACACAGAAATATACAACACTGTATATAACTTCTGCAAGAGCAACACTGTTACAACCGGTATTACCTCATTGTACTGTGAATTATAATTATCTAAATCATGTTGATGGCTACAATAAGGGATTTCAATTATCCACATTTTACTGGAATCAGATTAGCGTTGTGGTCCATGAACATGCATCCTGTTAATGTTAATGGGTTTTTTTACTACTTCTGTTCTATGTGTACTTAAACTTAATTTACTTATTATAATCATGTGTATTTTTGAATTGTTTCGATGAGGCAATTGAAGTAAAAAAAAATAAATAAAACATTTGCATTTGTGATACTTTTTTTGTTACGACAATTCAGTAATTTAAATTTGTTTTCACTTATCATTTCACACTGTGACAGAATATCACTTTTATTCAATAGATAGATCACAGTATTACATTTTCAACAGTAAAATACTGTGATTTATCTATTGAATAAAAGTGATATTCTGTCACAGTGTGAAAGGATACCAAAGTGATATTCTCTCACAGTGTGAAAAGATATCAAAGTAAGTAAAATTAATGTCTGGCCTGTCATAAGATAGAGATAAGTAACTAAACCGTCTTGATAAATTGTCAATTTCTTCTCAAATAATTATGTTGCTAAAATCCATGATCTCGTAAGTTATGACGTCTCAGCCGTTCTACTATGAGGTCAATCAAAGAAAGGTCATAAACAGAAAATTTAACGTTTTGAACAAGTTGGATATGGAATTTATTTCACTCGTACTTGGGAAGCACTCGTGAAAATAAACATCCTGTCCCACTAGTGAAATAAATTCCATATCCAACTACAAAACATTGAATATCCTCCATATATTTTAATAAGAGGAAAAAAAATACATTGTATTACATTATTATATATTTATGTTTAATATGTATTTGTTTCATTAATATTATATTTATATCATAATGCTGTGCTTGGTTTTATTTTTTATTATTTATTTTTTTTTTTTATTATTAGTGTTATTTTTGCTTCTTCTTTTTGTTATTTTTTTTTCCTCTCGGTAAATTACTAACATATAACCTCTTTAGTGTGGACCTTAATTAATATTTTCTCCAGCTCAGATTTTGGAAGAATTCGGGGTGAAGTTCAGAACATGGTGAAGGTAATTAGCCTACATGCATACCCTTAGTTCTTATGGTCTTTAATAATCTTCGGTTAACGCTCTTTAAAATTATTTGTCTATTGTTGGAATGACGCTTCAACTCCGGTTTTTTGCAGTTGTAAACTGGAATTTTCCACTTCTCGAGATTGAGGCCTCGATTGAGTAAAGAATGTTTGGTCACATGACTACTCGATATCGGGTCACGTTTTTTGTTGGGATCGAGTCGGTGTTTTCAGCTTGCAGGGGGAAGCAAGAGAAATTGTGAGGATGATGAAGCTACGCAAGTGGACTTTTCAATGTGTGTTCAATGCACGGCGTCTTCATTCTAAATATGTTCCTGTTCCGTTATCAATGCAACAATATTTGGAATTTGGTAAGTGCACATCGATGATGAAATATGGCTCATTATAAATTCACAGCTGTTTCTTCGTTTGTTCAGTTGTAAATTCGAAGAGATTTATGAATGAACATTTACTTGAAATATAACGGGGGGAGATTTTTATGTGAAGGAAAATTAAGTTTTGATTAAGGACAAATAATTGCTATAAATTCATTAAATTGGCTTTGTTTACACGTGAAGAGGTGTGGTGTAAACAACCAATCGTTATACATGTACATATTTAAATTAGACGTATATTTTCTCCATGACGTCAGAGGGGTAAAGCTCATGGGTCTCTTTTCTATTTTATTTATTATTATTTTTTTATTAGGGCTCATATGTTATAAATTTTATCACAGCCGACTTGAAATACTAGTCTCCACAATCTTATGATTATCGAGGAAAAAAGATCTGTATAAGAAAACCGTAGAATATTGCTGGTGTGTTATTACTGAATGTTTATATTATCACCACAGATCAATATTGTGGAGTTTAAAGATTATAATTATATGTATGAAACAATTTATGTAGAGTATCCCTTGTTGTACCCTGAAGACGTCTTACGTTATATTTCTATTCTCGGAAAATTTATTATAATTTAATATCAGTTCGAAATGTTAAAAACTGGAGAAAATACAAAATGGTTGAAATCAATAGTATAATCGAATCATAGAAGAGAAGCGAGATGGTAATATTGTATAAGTAGTTGTAGAAAATGTGTATTTCGCTTCAACAGTCAAATGAAGCGTACAGTTCCCGCCTTGCCTGTCATTAGCCTCCACCACATTTGTTTTGATTCTCCCTCGAGCGGAGAGTCTGTCAGTTTGGCTGGTTGTTGTAGTCTTACACAGTTTTATGATTCAATGTTTCTAAGACAAAAAACAAGATGTTAAGAATAGGACTTATTTCAAATATATTGGGGCATTCCAAGAGGTTGGGCCATGTAGTGTCACCAAAGCATCTGTACAGACCCTCCCCTATGTCCTTAGCAGAACTGCTGAAGTTTGGTGAGTTGACATGATTTTTTTCAGGTCATGGTCAAGCTGTCCTAAATAATCTCTCTCACAAAAGAGAATATCAACAGTCATGTTATCTTTTGTTTATTTAGAACATGAATTAATTCTAGCATTGCATGAACTGTTTCCATATGTGCCCACATGTGTACTCAAAAGATTGAAGAAAGGTGACACAAAGGCAGCAAAATATCTTGTAATATAAAGACATTATGTTGTATTTTTTAAGGTCAAAAGAAGTGTGAGAAGAAATCTTTCCAGTTTCTTAACGATGAAATCCCTATTCGTCTTGCCCACATCATGCGGGAGTTTGAAGACCTTCCCAAAGAACTACTGACCATGAAATCGGTGAAACTTGTACGCAGTTGGTGAGTGAGAATTTGGTCAAAAGAATGTTGATTAATGTGTCATCAATGATCTTGAATAAAGTGGGCCACATTTGTAGTGTTTGTATACCCTGAGGGTATTTACTTTTTATGTCTGTAGGTTGAACTAGGTTCAGATAATAGGACATATATAGCATTATCAGATAGCTGTCTAGAAATAAATATTTACAGGTTTATCTCGCAACAGCCACTATTTAATGCATAAGAAAAAATCTAGATTTACAGAATATGATTTGAAGTAAATGATAACCACATGCACATGAAAATATTCATTATTGGTAGGGAGGAAAATACAACAACAAAAAAACAACAAGAGATGCTTGGTAGTGTATTCCTTATAATGTTAGTTGTGTATCCAGCTCTTTGAGAGTTCCACTAAAATAGTCACAAGGGCAAAATCATACAAAAAATGTGTATGTAAATACTACAAGTAATTTCCAGGTATGGAGAAAACACCATCAGATTATGTAAATATTAAGCTAGCATAATTACATGTGATGCTAAGTGGTAACTAAGTATGTAAACATTTACATCTTCCCTCCAATGTGGTTGGCATTTTGAAATTTGAGGTCAATCCCGATTTATATCTTAAATTTACAAATGGTATTATACTCTTTTGGTGTTGAATGTGGTTTGTTATTCACCAGAAAAAAATCTCATTATTGACGGAGGCAAAGCCAAGGTCAATACTGATATTTTTCTGGTGAATACCAAACCATATTCACCACCAAGAGTCCATAATTACCATATTTAATATCAAAGGAGTCCATAATTGTTTTATTGTCTAGTCTGGACTTGAATGAATAAGACGCTGAGGCTGCATGACGACTAAGGGATGTGCGATTTTATCTGTATATCGTGATTTTGATTGCATGATACGTATCGTGATATAGAAACTAACATACTGGTATTTAGGAACATAATAGTGAATTCCAGAAATTATTCATTTATTTGTTCAAATATTTAAATTACAATTACAAGATGTGTAAAAAATATTGAAAACTGTAAAAGAATGGCATCCTAGCATCCAGACATGCTTTACAATGTAATTAAAAAAAAATGAAAAAAGTGAAAATATGTTTTTCCAGCATATTTTTAGGAAAAATTATGAATATTTATTTAAAATCATAGTAAAAGCTGCTTATAGAAATATCATGATATTTTAGGGGAAAATCATGATATATCGCAATACGAAATCGATACCCATCCAAAATGACCTCTCCATTTTCATAAACGAACTGTATTGGAGAGATTAAAAAATGTCCAGATTACGAGTTATAATTAACTTCTGTGATTTCCTTTCATCATGTTCATAGTGTGAAAGACATCATTTCACAACGATATATTTGAATAATAATCCAGCAATAGGCTTGCCTGAATTTTTCCTGCTTAGATACACAGGCGAGCCCAGCTTTTGCCACCTATGTTTACATGTACAAGAATATCTGAGGTGTTGTTTGTGATGTCCCAATGGTCGCTTCACGGGCACTGACCCTACGGTGAATACAGCATCAAATCCAGTGAATATTTAGTGTTATTAAGCATTTGTATAGATTGTATAGGACTGTTAATAACTATATAGTAATAATATTTATCTCCAATGAACATATTTTTAAGTGATGCAGGAGCTCAGCTATATTTTACTTTTTTTACATGCATAAGTGAAAGATTTAAATAAACATGTTTCTTAATTAAATTGAGGATATAACCTGTGCAAAGATTTAGTATTACACAAAATGGAGGACCCTATATAATTTTTGACAGTTTTTCAGGGGTAGTTTTTTGACAGTTTTCAGTAGTTTAGTTTGTATCTGACACCTCAGTTCAGAATATGATATGGAGAAAAAAAAGAATTTGGTGCACTTGCATGTAACAGACTTGTGTGTGATTTCATTTTTTGGAGTACAATGTATAATACAAACTGTGATATGTAATATATGATAACCCTTGATGTGAAGGAATATATGCGATGCTTAATAATCTCTGATGCATGAATTGTTCCAATAAGAGTTTATTTATAATATCTCAAAATGTCAAAAATAGTAAATACAACTCACACACATCTGAGAATTTTAGAAATGTTTTTTGGAGTACAAGACTTCCCTGTTTATTGTTGTTGACAGCTAATTCCTAGAATGTACCTGTGGTTTAATCTGTGTACTTGTAACTCATGGAGATATAAATTTTTCCTAGCAGCAATGACCTGAGAACAAGCTATTCTTATCTTTTAGACATGTTCTGGCAGATTAACACAACACTGAATTATACATTCTGTTTTCTGTTTTACTTTGGAAGAAAATTTAGCTTTATCTCTTAACAATCCATCAACAGTATACATTGCACTTGGCAGTTCTCTTGTTCAGTGTCTGAGGCTGACATGGAAATTCTTGTGCTTCTAAGTTATCTCACATTGTCACTTTTCATCCATCTTCAGTTTATGTGATGTGAGGTACCCAAATTCCTTTCAGCATATATCATGTTTGTAGCTAACAAGCACAGGTTGAGGTGGACACCTGTAGATTATGAGGTCACTCAACCAAAGGAGAGGACTATAGGTCAAGATTTCTGTATGACTGTGAACATTTTTAGGTCACCTCTACACAGTCGCGATGAGTTTACAGTATACCCCCGCATTAGCATTTTTGGAGCAGGTCCATTTCATGATTTGCAAGTAACTTTAGCTTTATGGTGACCAATTTTGCATGGGTGATGCCACTAGGGTGCACACTAACATTGGATGCTGGATCTGACCTATATATTCTGGATAATTGAACAGGTTGAAGATTTTGGAGATGGTTTATTCCCAAGTATAAATATAAGCCCTGTGCTGATTAAACTTAATTGATTATGCATCTAGGGATGCACACCACCAGTGTGTCTTCAGATGCTGAATCTTACCAACATTTTTTTTTAATGAATGACCATGTTTGTGGTTTTGGAGGAGGTTTATTCTCATGTAACTATAAGCCTTATGGTGACCAAACTTGCATGGATGATGCATCTAGGGATGTACACTAACAGACTTGCTTTGGATGTTGGATCAGATTGATCGAACAGGTTAAATATTTTACAGAGGGTCCATTCCAAAGTTACTATCTCACTGTTAAGGAACTTGCTTCAGTTGATGATTCATTTAAGGATGCACACTACCAGATATGCTATGTACAGTTGCTGGGTTTGCCCTACATTTTCTGGGTGATTAAAGTTGATGTTTTTGGAGCAGGTCCATTCCCAAGTAAATATAAATTCTACCAAACAACTACCTAAGCACACTACCAGAACATTTTTTTTTTCGGTGTGAAACATGTCAGTTAGTATTGCCCTTTCATTATTCAGAACTTCAATTTTTGCCTTTTCTACTGAGAAATTTCGTGTTTGGTCATGGTGATAGTGAAGATCTTTATGCTACGCTAGGTCAAAGTTCAAGGCTATAGTCAAATTCCAGTTTTTGTTTACCATTGGTTTTGGGATTATTTAATAAGTTCTTTTTTTTTTTTTTTTGTTTTACAGGTATGACATAAGTTTCCAGGAAGTGCAAGCATTCAGAGACAGAGATCCGGATGATGAAAAGGTTTTACAGGAGTAAGACAGATATTTAAAGATACCATTATCTTGTATCCTCATTGCTAATGTGTATCTGCATAGTATTACATAAAAGTGCAACAATTTAATGTTGTTAATTTAATATTATCAGTAGAATATACCTCTGAAGTAAAAATTCATGGTACACTGATGAAGAGAAGATTAAAACTAATGGACATTGTCTTTCAGGTTCTCAACAGCAATACAGAATATACTCAATCGTCATTCTTATGTAGTGGAAACGATGGCACAGGTAAGATTGAAATCAAAGTAGGACATAAACAATGGCACAGGTAAGATTGAAATCAACGTAGGATATAAACAATGGCACAGTGTAAGATTGAAATCAAAGTACGACATAAACAATGGCACAGGTAAGATTGAAATCAATGTACGACATAAACAATGGCACAGGTAAGATTGATATCAAAGTAGGACATAAACAGAACAGTGAAGGTCAGGCGGTCCCTTATGTCAATAACATAGCTTAACAGTGTAGGCCTTCACAATACTGGCTATAAAGACCAACTCTCTGACAGACCCTGTTGTCAGACAATAGACTCAACTTCGAGATTACATGAATGAGTTTTAATATGTTTATAAAACAAAATTTCTGCAGAATGAATATGATGTTGCATTAAAATTTCAAAAGTTTTACTATTGGCTACAAAGAATGCTATGATTGCTAAAGATAGCATACTATGTCTATGATATTTGTTTTATGGAATGCCCTGTATCCTTCCTAGTTCATATTTCTGAGAAAACATTTTGCCTGATTTGGGTTTGAACTTTGAATAAGGTGTCTGAGCAATAAATATATCTTCATTCTCAAACCAGAAGGGGAAAAAAGGTGTAAAAACTGTGCAAGAGCCCATTGATATCAGTACTTATACAGGGTGTGACTAATATCCTGCTTGTTCATTTCTGTGTAGTACAGGCCCATATATGTGATGCATTGCCTTTTGTGTACATGTAGGTATACTTGTCATCCATACATGTATGTTGACGTCAACTAAAAAAAGCAGAACCATTAATATGTAGTACTCATAGTTTATGAAAACAGAGCAATATAGATTTAAGTTAAATTTCCCTTTGTTCAACTCGTAAAACATGACACATAGGGTGGTAGCGGGAAGGAAGCACTTTGATCATAAAATTACACAACTAATTTAGTACCAGTGCATATACAACGAAAAATAATTTTGAAAAAATTAACTTCCTCAGATGTATTTTATTTAAGTTACAGGATACAACTTTTCATTTTACATTTTATCTCGTTCTAGACATATGTATTTCTCATCAGATTGGATTTTAATACATGTACTTTACTGTAAATGCATTTCATTTTTTGCCATCACATTTTTTTTTCAACTAACCGATAATTTTTTTTTTATTTATACATATAGAAGGGTATAAAATTTCAAATTTGCAATTTAAATCATGACTGCACTTATGAACTAGAAGTTCAAATGACTTAATATCTTCACTCCGCTGTTTGAGTCTTAGGATTAAGGCCATTTTTATGCCCCCACTGTAAAATGTATGTATAAGGTTGAAATTGCATATGCAGTTATTTTACCAGAAAATACAGGTTAAGTCATATGCAGTTATTTTACCAGAAAATACAGGTTAAGTCATATGCAGGTATTTTGTGTAAATCATTACAACATCCAAAACATGATAAGTTGTATGTATCCCCAAATCCAGAAAAAAATCTGGTTGCCAAGTATTTATAATTCTTCCATTAAGCAAACTGACATGGATGATGACATGCTATCAGTCTGTCATCTTGGGGAAGTTAACAGGGATTTTTTTTTAGGGATTACTATTAGAGTTTTTGAATACTTTATTGAAACTTTATAATGTTAACTGTTCTGAAAAATTAAAATTTTTAATTAGATATACTGATCGTGGGGTAAAGGTATTGACTACCCATTAAGAATGAGAATGCTCTATAAGCTTGCCTTTGTTCTTAGGGTGTTATAGAAATGGAGGACACATATGGATTGGATGGCAGAATCAACGAAAGAATTCAGTATTTCCTCGACAGATTTTACATGAATCGCATCAGTATACGCATGCTTCTGACTCAACATGGTGTGTTATGTATACATTGTATCGATCAGTTTAACAATAATTTAATTACAGTATCATTGCATTTGTCTTTTTCTCTTTTTTTCAATTTACAGTAATGCCAACTTTAAAATATTGTTTGGTTGCCCTTTCCTGACTGACTGGCTACAAATGGCCTGACTCAAAACTTTTATAACCTGCAGAAAACAATAATTTTTTTTATGCATATGGAAAATAGATTTTGAAAATTCAGCATTGATGTTGAAATTTTCTGGAAAAAAAATTTTCACACCTACCTACCGACCAAATTTTTTTCATCCTGAGTCAGGAGAGGGCAATCAAACATTATTTTAAAGTTGGCCTAATTAATCCAGATTCATATCTTGAATGGGTTTCCTTTTTTAAATCTGTAAATCATAAAGACATTTGGTGAGATTTTGTATGTAGGCAGTTTTCAGGTAATGCCTGTGGGTTTTAGTTGTACTGAAGTAAAATGATTTTCGTTGAATCGAGTGTGTATTGTGTACCATTTATTCTATTTTAGCCGCACTGTTTGGAAATATAACAAACCATCCCAGACGTATTGGACATATAGACCCCAACTGTGATGTTATAGAATGTGTTAAAAGTAAGTTTAATCTTGTCATAAATGAAGACAAATTTATAGTGCAAACTGCCTTTCAGGCTCAATCATGATTCATCCTCCAAAATTTGTAGAATAAAAAGAATTAAAAAGAAATGGTGTTTTACTTTATAAAATCTAATGAAACAATAGAGAAATATATAACTCATATGTGTTAACAAATTAATAAAACTACAGAATCTGTAATCTATGTGAGTCGTTAGATACATGTATTATAAATTAATGATTTTTTTTTTTTTCTAGATGCTTTCTTATCTGCCAGACATATTTGTGAACATTATCACATGCAGTCCCCAGATCTGGAGATTATCACTGCAGATGGTCAGCTCTTAATCATTTTTCTACATTTTTTTCTTTGTATTCCATAAATATTTCATAAACAGCTTGAAATACATGTATTGGTAAAAGAAAACATTCAATAATCTCAAAATCTTGTTCAATTTTAGGTTCAAATGCAGTTCATTTTGTGTATGTACCAGGACATATAGAGCATATATTATTTGAGATTTTTAAGGTAGGTCTATATTGATGCATATATTCATAACCAGGATGTTCATACTAACAGTAACTTTTTCTGACTTTTATGGGAACATTTTGAATTGTGCACATCTGATTTAACATAATATTTGCAGAATGCCATGAGAGCTGTTGTGGAGTTCCATCCAGACAAAATTGATTTGCCAAAATTAAAAATTATTGTGTCTAAAGGGAAGTCAGATATGACGATAAAGGTAAGGCATGGAAAATTATTTCTATTATATATAACTGGTAATAGTGCTTTAATAGGAAAAACCAAACAAGGAACAATGAAAATGTGACATTAGAGGAAAATTTTCAGAAAATTTCTGTTACATATAAGGACACGAACAAGGAAGACTTTTCGTGTACAATGTGCTTTGAAAATTTTAAGTGGTTTACAAATGATGTACCCACATAGCCTTATTATCTTGTCATAATAACAGCTCCATGGCATGTAATAGACAACAAATGTATGTTAATATTTTTAAAAGAAATTTTTGAAAAAGATAGAAATTCAGTAAGAGATAAATGGTAAATGACATACTCTGTAATAAGCAAGTGTATATATTTTTTTTTTGGTAGTTGTCAGATCAGGGTGGTGGAGTCCCGCATAAAGACACAGATAAACTGTTCCAGTACATGTATTCTACAGCTCCTCGCCCTCAGTACACAGGCCAGGAATCCCCACTGGTGAGTTAAAAATAGGTCAATTCTCTTGCTATATACATAGGCCAAGAATCCCCACCTGTGGGTTAAAACTGGTTCAGTAAACAAATATATACATGTATCCTTCACTATAGACATGTTTAAAGAATGCTCATTGGTGAGTCATAGTTAGGTCAATAAGGAAGAATTATGCCCTTATATATGAACACCAGGAATCCCCACTGATGGGTTAAAAACTAGGTCATAAGTAACTCCGTCATTCTATATATAAGCAGGTTACAAGGCCTCCCCAGTGATGATTCAAAACTTTGTCAAAGTGTTTCCCATATTAGGTTCATCTATTTTACAGATCCCCATCATACAAACAACGACTCGACTGGTAAGACAAAACTAGGCCCATAAACAAAAATAATTCAGTACAAAGACAAAGGGTCCTGACTAGTAAGGCAAAACTAGGTCAATAAACTAGATTAAAATCCACTTGTGATGTCACTCTTTTGTTTGAGTGCTCCATTATTTTTCAGGAATGGAGATTTGTAAATCAAATGAAGAACATATTTTTTTGTATTTATATGTACAAGATCTCCTTCCCATATCTGTTGGTGCTAAGTTTGTAGTGACTTACAAAAATGTTAAAGATAGAGAAATATTTCATTTGAAAAAGTATGGCAGTAATGGGAATCGAACCCGGTTCCTTCATCATTCAGGCCGGTTGCTCTCTACACTATGCTACCAGGACAAATTATTTAAATTTTAGAATTATTCATTTGAAATATGCCTGTATCATATATAGAAAAACAATAATGAAAAGCATTAAAAGGAGCCTACTGAGGTTTTATTGTGTAAAACCTACAATATAGAAACTCTTTCAGGGTTCGAAATTCACTATATACAACTCGCAAAACGCGAGTTAGAATTTCAAAATTGCGAGTTAAAAATTAGGTAACTCGCAAAAACTTGCGAGTTGATTTTTTTGCATTGAAACTGTAGCAAAATTATATAATATGACAGAACACAATGCTTTTGATTTAAATCAGTAATTTAAATAAAAGTCACCCTGAAGCTGTATTTTGTGTATTGTACAGTAGTTACTTTTTCCTTAAGTTACATGTATTTAATTTATATAAATTTAACTTTCTATGAATATTGCGAGTAGTCTTATAAATTGCGAGTTCACTTTCTTGGTACTCGCAATTATTTGCGAGTTGTAATTTTAGGGAGTTTCTAACCCTGCTCTTTACTTTTATACCATGTGTATCCTACACTGACTTCAAAGTACCAACATGCAAAGATTCAGGAAAATCTATTTTGGTTATTTTTAGGGACCATCTCAGAATACAGTTTTATTTACTACAGGAGTGTATGGGGGAATGTTATTTTCACACTTCAATTTGAAAGCAAATTACAAAAATACTACAGTAGATTTTTTGGCTCAAAGACATAGAATTATGATCTGGAGACATAATTTTGTTGAATGTTATTTTGCATATTAACTTCTGCTTGATATGATTACAATATATAATTTTTTTTATGTCAAGCTCATAATATCATTTGCATGTTAACTCGAAATTTCAAGACAAAAGAATTTTTTTAATGGGCATGTTTAAAAAATCTCACTAATATTGCTTACTGGAATCAAGTTAAATAATATTCTACCATTTCAGTAGACCTTTGTCATAATTTTACTGATCTGATGAGATTTTTTTTTTGTCTGTGTTGATATAGGCAGGTTATGTGGATATAGACAGAGTTTCGCATGATAAAGGACCAATTGACGTAGTGGTAAACACACATGCTTTGTTGTATATTCACTATATCAAGGCTCTGTGACTATATTTCATTCTTATCTCTGATAAAATTTAGCATTTAGAAGAGTTGTGCTGGCTATGATTTATTTATCTTCAAAGAATTGCACTGGCAGTGCAGTCTAGATTTAGTGAAAACAAAATGACTCATGCAGTTATCTAAAACTATTTTGAACATTGAACTCGGTTTGATAATCTGTCAAGCTGTCAAAGATGGAATCATCTCTATACAAAACCTCAAGGTTTAATTAGAAATAAAAAAAAAAGTTCTTCAAGCCAAAAATTTTGAAAAATAATGCAACAAGCAGGGTTTTTGTAACAAAAAGATAATTTATCTTGTCACGACATTTGATAATGATAATGTGTCTGACTTACATAAAGTGTGAGTTCATTTACCTGTATAAACGAAGTCAATCCTAAAATTGATACTCTCCATTTCAATATGTCAATAGAATTGATCAGTGTGTTAGTAATTTTTCCCAATTCAATCATTTTGCAGTGCCTGAGAAACTAAATCTTACTTTTTTTATGGCCTGCCTTAATCAGCTGTAAATGAGTTAACATTATCAGACCCCCCAAAATACTAGCCTGAATACCCCTTGTTTTTAATTGACATTTTCTCACTATTTAAGCCCAACTTATAGAGTTTTGTCAGGGGTTTTGTGAGGGCGTGTAATCACAAAGCCTTGACATTGTGAGGGTGGATTTGGTGCAGAGTCTAAACTTGTGTAGATAATTATTTAGTTGCAAATTGACCACTTGTTTTTGCTTTTTTTTTAATTGAGGATTTTATTTTCCACCTATCTGATCATCAGCTTCCTACATGTATATATTGGCAAAGAAACTTGAACTTGACAAAGAATGTTTTCTCTCTAGTATCTTGTTTATTTCTAACAAAAAACAAACATTTTGTCCAATATATTTTAAACATCATTGCACTATTGTCTTGTAATCAAGTATTAACCAATTTAGATGTGAATTTTGATTTATTGGCTTTGATAACTCATTTTATATGATATATTGTATGCAGAATTCAACTTGAAAATCTTCTCATTGTAATGCATCATTTTTGGAGCAAATCAGTCAAATTAGGCCCTAATCACCAATTTTGAAACCTTGTGCCATTTAGATTATTATGATTTAGAAATCAATTTTGGTCTACAGTGTATATATTTTGAGTATCTATCAATTGAACTTAAACCTTGATTAGAATATATGGGAGATAATGACGTAGTACCATGTTTTGTCTAGATAAGGCCAAGAATTCATGTTCGTTCAAGGTCAATGCTTAAAGGTCGGATATCAAATTTTCTTTTGCCATCATTGAAATTTTACTTAACATGCATTAATATGACTAGCACAATGAGGGCATGGGAAGTTGGAGACCTTTTTTTTAGCTCACCTGAGCCAAAGACTTGAGTGTGCTTTTCTGATCAAAATTTGTCCATTATCTGTCATTGTCGGTGGCAGTGTTAACTTTTTTCACAATTTCATACTCTTCTCCAGAACCACTATGCCAATTTCAACCAAACTTGCCACAAAGCATCCTTGAGTGAAATGGATTCAAGTTTGTTTACATGAAGGGTCACACCCTCTTTAAAGGGGAGATGATTAATTGGTGTAAATTTATGGCATCTTTTAAAAATCTCAAGAACCACTGGGCCAGAAAAAAATGAACCTAATATAAAAGCTTCATTACATAGTGTAGGTTCAAGTTCAAATCATGACCCGTAGGTGTAGGGCAGGCCACAACAGGGGATTAAAGTTATACATAGGAATATATAGGAAATATCTTTAAAAATGATCTTCTCAGGACCGGTAAAGCCAGGATTAGTCTTATTAATACAGAAGCATTCTCAGGTAGTGTAGATTCAAGTTTGTTCAAATCATGAACAGCAAAGCCATGATCATTCATATATATTTAAATTGAAAACATCCTCATGTAGTGTATTTTCAAGTTTTTTTCAAATAATGACCTGGGGGCGGGGGAGGTTAGGGCCACATTTGGCAATTCAATTCAAAGGTTACTTAGGAATATATAGGAAGAGTCTTTAAAAATCTCCTCAAGAGCAGCAAAGCCATGATCAATCATATTGATATGGAAGCATCCTCAGTTAGTGTAGATTCAAGCTTGTTAATATTATGACTACTGGGGTAGGATGGGGCCACATTAGAAGATCAAACTTTTACATAGGAATACATAGGAAAAATCTTTAAAAATCTTTTAAAGCCATGATTAATCACATTAATATATATGAAAGCATCTTCATTTAGTGTAGATTCAAGTTTGTTCAAATTACATGTATGCACTCTCCTCTGCCCCTGCAAGGAGGGGGGGGGGGGGGTTGAGGGATCAGTTATCAATACTGAACTGATTTCTGCTTTTTTTCTAACCAATGTCCTAAGGTGAGCAATGTGGCCTATTGGCCTCTTGTTCATTATTAATCTAGAGATCAAGTATAATTTAGTAGTAAATAATTACTAAGATAAACTTAAGCCTAAATGAGGAATAGAGAGAAGTTTTTATACTTTACTGGTATATGAGTTTATGTATATACAATCATTTTAATACATGTACTCCTTAAAACTAATGATGCATTAATGTCTAGTTTTCTGACCTTGACCTCTTTCATTGAAGGCTGGATATGGTTATGGGCTCCCGTTGTCTCGGCTCTATGCCAGGTATTTCCAAGGTGACTTGGTGGTCAACTCCATGGAGGGGTATGGTACGGACGTCTACCTATACCTTAAGGTAAGACATTGAAAAAGAGCAAGTTAGAAAACAAAAATTATAGGAAAAGAGAAAGGGAGGTTGCATTTATAGCACATGATATTTGTCTTATGGGAAGGTAATTACAAAACTGGAGATATAAAAGGAATTAATATGTGAAAGTTGCTTTTTGCAATAATCATGGTTGTTAAATGGATGCATGGTTCCAATGCATTGAATTCAAACTTGTTTTAAAATGCCTGTTAGGTGCAGGGTTTGTTAAATGTGCTTAGTCTGATGACATAGGTAAATGCTTCAATAAAGTCAAATTTTTTTACTTTCCATGTCTCTGTTTAGAAGATATATTGAAAATGCCTGGGATAGAATATATCTGTCATTCAATTAGCTTCACAACATTCAATCATATAATAATATATATTTTGACAGGTGAATTCTTCAGAGGCCAATGAGTGTTTACCCATTTACAACACAACTACCTCTAGAATGTATGAAGCAGAAAAGGTTGTGTCTGATTGGTCCAGCAATACAAACTGGAGCCAATCAATGAGGACTTACTGCACATTTGTAAGAAAGCCACCAGATGTATCAGAAAACAGTAAAAAGTCTGTCCAAAGCTTCTGCAGATTAATCCCTCCTACAACCTTGTGTTAATTTAGAACGGAGTCTTTTTGTTAATCAATGTTGTTGTCTGTGAGACTGTAACTTTTATGTTGTGAATCATTGCATCACTTTCCATTTATATGTTTGAAATGTAAGACTTGAGAATTTTCTTGTTTTTTCTGTCAAAAGAGATTTGCTTTTCATTTAAAGCAATATTTTATTAAATGTCTCTTTAACTTGTCTTGCCAGCCAGTCTGATAGGTAATGTTGAAGACAATCACTTAAAAAACAAGTCAATTTTTGTGTCATTTTTCCATTTATGTTAAACAATTGATATAGTCCAAGGCAAATTATTCCTAGCGAATATAACTAGTATAGGAAAGAATGTACATGGTTCTTAAATCAAAATAAGTAGTTTAAAATCCACGCAAATATTTTATGTTGTTTTAGAGTCTTGGACAAAATATGATGTGTGTATTGCTGAAAGCTTATAATGTCAAGAGTTGTAGGTACAGGAATGTGTACCTTATAACCTACTGTTCCTTGTCCAGAAGTACTGGTGTATTTTCTGTATCAGATATTTATAAATGTTTAAGTTATTAATAGTACATGTAATAGACAGATTTTTTGATAATCCAATGTTCATATACTGCAGATGTACTTTCTTCCATGTGAGATTAATTTACGATATGTACATGGTCACAATTTTCCTGCGGACATCTGTCACAGCATACTTAAAGTGCATTTAATACAAACAAAGCACAGGCGCTTGACGTTTTTAACCTTTCTTTCCATAAATAAAAAATCCCCCATTCTATAATAATAACAAGGTTCGTCACGGTCGCCATCTTGAATTTTTCAGTTCAGCTACTTTGCCTCGATTTTTAGTCTACAATGTGTTTGAAATTAACGGATACAACCGTTTCCCTCAAGTACTTACTTTAACTATGCCTCCACTTTCGGGCAATTCAACTCAAATCACATTAAATCCTCTCTCATTCTTAAAATGTCGCTTCAAACTCAGTCTACTGCTACCGATTCCGTAAAACTTAGAAAAGGGAGGCCGGAAGTTGATGTTGTTATGTAAATAGGAATTCCCCCTACTTAAATTTCATTGGTTAAAAGAAATATGACGTTTCGCGGGAAAAATCATGCAAAGACAGTAACAAACTTTTTCGACATGTTGAATGCTGAGCAGGCCGATGCTTTCCATAATCATCTGATCAGAAATAATATGTGAAATATTTTTTTCTTTTATTTTGTTGAAGAAAAAATCATGAGGAAATAAAAATTATGCTTGGTCCTGGAATTCTGGTTACTAATTTCTCGTGTAAACCAGACCCCTTGCATTCTAGCATAAATATTTCTTCCCTATAATGGTACTATTTTCAGTGTTTGGAAGCGATGAAAATTATAAAAAAGAAGGATAGATATGTGTATGTTTTATTTTTCATCACAGTGGTGAGCTGGCCCAGATCACTGAACCTCCATGTCCCCTCTTTCTACAGGCGCGAAGCTGTATTTGCAAGTACGCAAGTGCGTTACTACACATCGTTTAAAAAAAAAAAAACTAGGTCTGAGAGAGAGAGAGAGAGAGATTGTTGAGAAAAAAAATATTAGCATCATCCGGCAAATATTTTTGTTTCAAATTATTAATTGTAATTATTTCGAATCAAATTTTATATCATTACGTCTATTTGAAATCTTTTATTGAATCATTGCCAAATCCAAATAAATCATTAATCTATAGTAAGTGTTCTATAACACATTAATAATTCTATAAGACCTTTGAGAAATTAATTATCGTCAAATGGCTTGATCAAATAGTATACTGGCGGATTTAGAGGGGGGCAGGGGAACCCGCCCCCCCCCCCCTTTGTGTCCAAAATATGCATAAGATTTAATAAAGCAATTTTTTTTGTGTGTGGCTGTGAGCCCCTACCCTGACCCCAAACTGGTCGCCCCCCCCCCTCCTTTTTTCAAGATTCCTGGATCCGCCACTGTAGTATATGATTTTAAAATTATTTTTGCTACCAACATTTAAAATACTTGCTGCTGAACATTATTAATACATTATCATAACAGAGAGCAGACGATACAAATGTAGTGGTAAAAGATTCTGCATGCCTCAAGTACATTTACAATAAGTTACCGAGAAAGTTAAACTTCGTGTTAAAAACAATATTACTGTCTTGTCTTTCATAAGAAAAGCCAAATACCATGCTATTCCCTGCAGGAATGTGATTGAAATATTTGTACAAGCCATGAGCTCCCCCCCCCCCCCCCGCCCCAATCAAGGCTTCGCCTAAAACCTATGGATGGCCTCACAGATTATATTGCCATTCATTTATTTTTAAGGGAGGACCAATTGATTCTGGAAAGCTGGGGGGGGGGGGGGGGGCTGGGCTGGCAATTTTTCCCCAGCTTTATTTCCATGTCGGTGAAGGACAATTAAATTGATTTTCAAAATCTGCCAGACCCCCCCCCCCCCCCAAAAAAAAAAAATTCAGAATTAAATTGTTAACGCTTTTATGTTTTGACAATATAATTGATTTTTTATTTTTTTGGATTTAAGCCCCCCTTTACTTTCAGATGTGTAACTACGCCTCTGTATGTAAAATACTGTAACAGTGTATACTATTCAGCCTAAATATTTCAGTGTTTCTTAAATAGTAGTTGAAAAAAAGTACACAGTTTTAGGCTAAATATATATTTATTTGCAAACAGTTGGGGACTATAGATGTATTAATATATATTACTAAGTTATTTATAAAATCTAGAACTGCTCAAGCTCCATATTTAAACAGATCTTAATATTAATATAACTCTCAAGATATCCACCAATCAGAAAAGGGCTTTCCCGAATTGTGACGTTCTAACATCAACTTCCGGCCTCCCTTTTCCAAGTTTTACGGAATCGGTAGCAGTAGACTGGGATTGAAGCGACATTTTAAGAATTAGAGAGGATTTAATATGATTTGAGTTGAATTGCCCGAAAGTGGAGGCATAGTTAAAGTAAGTACTTGAGGGAAATGATTGTATCCGTTAATTTCAAACACATTGTAGACTAAAAATCGAGGCGAAGTAGCTGAACTGAAAAATTCAAGATGGCGACCGTGACGAACCTTGTTATTATTATAGTATGGGGGATTTTTTATTTATGAAAAGAAAGGTTAAAAACGTCAAGCGCCTGTGAAACAAAGGCAATCCAAGAACTCCGTGTAATTATGACCCTGTGGAAAAAAGTACATCTACAGTATTTTCTGTCTATGTTGGTGTGATTTGTGTATATGTGATAATGAATATCAAATTCCTATACTGTAAACCAACTTGTATTCGCTTGCGAGAAATATCCGCTTGTTTCGCAACCTACTTCAACTCGCGAATATTAATTGTCCCGAACCATTTTTTTTGCTTTGTATTTATAGAGAATGTTTCCTAAGTCGCGAAAATTAATCAGCGGGGATTGATTTCAAACTGACGAATCGTGAATAATAGTTGGTTACCATAGTTATATTACGTAGAATATACTTGTTTGTCTATTTTAACCAATCAGTTGTTTGCCATGTGGGGCAGGGTAAAAGTATTTCAGATGGTGCATAGTTTTATTAAAACAGTCTTTCATATGATCTCATCCTAGATGTTTGATATTTTGAAAAATTTTCTTAGAATTATATTTAACTGTAGAAAAAAGTAAGTTTCTGTATCCATCACCAAATCATATATAAATATTTTTTAGCTAGTATTCATAACATACAAGAAATCTCTGCATACCATTATTAGTTTGGTGAGTAAGAGATTAAAAGGAGACAAATTTTATTTTTATCAGCCTTCATTTTGTCTAAAGTGATCTGTTAGAGTCTATTTTTAAAATGTGTTTTATGTTAAAAATAATTAAAAACTTCAGAAAATGATTTTTTTTTGTATTTATCATAAGGCTACTGTTTGTTTTGACCTCTTGATATTTCTCTCACTTTTAAAAAACGTTCTCTAGGACAAGAGGGTTAAAAAGGGGAACTTTTGTTCATAATGTTCACAAGTTCAACAAATTCAATAAAAAAAATTAGTTGAGCTAGCACTTAAGCCACTATAAAACACTGAAGTGGATTGTATATTTTGCTGAATCAATTCTGGTTTTGAGGAAGACAATGCTGCACTCAGCCATTGGGAGAGGGGGTGTGCATTTAGAATGGAAACCTAGATTTAAATGTGTGGTACTGTTTGTAGCAACTGGATGTTAAAATTTTGTACAGAATGGGAGTAGCTTCCCATCAATTTCAGTAATGGCTAGACAGAGTTGTCTCTCCTGTTATAAAAGTTTATATCATACATCTATATTGCATTCAATGAAGTTTAGCTTGGGTCTCTAAACAGATACATATAAGACCCCCACCCCCCCCCCTCCACCCCCTTCTACATTTATTTCAGTGTTTGTGAAAAGGTTGTTGTCACGGATGCTAGTGTAACACATCCCCAGCTTGTCGGAAAGGACCGAGAAGGTAATTAAGAAGAGCAGGTTTATGTTATCAAGCATGAAGAAAGACAATATTTTCCTAGTCATCCTTGGCTTTCTTACTGAGCGCTTTCCAAGTGAACTCCAGTTGTTAACTGTCTCCAATTCCCTCATCCAGGTGATCTTTTGTCAGCCTCCCTTTTGCCTTGGGGCTTCTAGGTAAGTGCCTGGTTCGTGATGTTGATTGAGGGCTGTTCCAGCTATCACCGAAGTCTCAGCAATTTCAACCTCTACATTTTGCTGTTTTGTCTTGTGCAGCTGGTGGTTTTCAGCCGGGGTATTTTGCGGATTCTATCAAAAAGTGTTGATAAAGATGACACGCTTATTTTGTCGGTCCACAACACTATCCAAGTGCTCATCTTGCAGCTTTATTATACCCCACACAACAAGTTGCGGAGGGTATCAACCCCATGCAACAAGTTGCGCAGGGAATATTTTTCACCCATCCGTCAGTCCTGTTCTTGTCATTGCAACATCTCTGAAACCGCCTGACAGAATTTTTCGAAGGGACTTGATGTGTCTAGCTGTGCATATTGGCAGGAAATTCCAATTAAGATTTTATGCCCGTTTTGAACTTAAATGGCCTCAATGCTACAGACACCACCTTCTCCATCAAATGGGCTCAATGCTACAGACACCATCGTCTCCATCAAATGGCATCAATGCTACAGACATCACCGTCTCCATCAAATGGCATCAATGTTACAGACACCACCGTCTCCATCAAACGGCCTAAATGCTACAGACACCACTATCTCCATCAAATAACCTCAATGCTACAGACACCACCGTCTCCTTCAAATGGCCTCAATGTTACAGACGCCAACGTCTCCATCAAATGGACTCAGTGCTACAGACACCACCGTCTCCATTAAATGGACTCAATGCTACAGACACCACCGTCTCCCTCAAATGGCCTCAATGCTACAGACACCACCGTCTCCATGAAGTGGCCTCACTGCTGCAGCAGCTCCACCAGCTCCATCAAATAGCCTCAATACTTCAGACACCACCGTCTCCATCAAATAGCCTCAATATTACAGACACTACCGTCTCCATCAAATGGCCTAAATGCTACAGACACCACCGTCTCCATGAAGTGGCCTCAATGCTACAGAAACCACTGTCTCCATTAAATGGGCTCGATGCTACAGGCAACACCGTCTCCATTAAATGGCCTAAATGCTACAGACACCACCGTCTCCATCAAAGGGCCTCAATGCTACAGACACCACCGTCTCCATGAAGTGGCCTCACTGCTGCAGACACCACCTCTCCATCAAATGGGCTCAATGCTACAGACACCACCGTCTCCATCAAATGGACTCAATGCTACAGACACCACCATCTCCATTTAATGGCCTCAATGCTACAGACAGACACCACCGGCTGCTTCAAATGGCCTCAATGCTACAGACACCACCGTCTCCATCAAATGGCCTCAATGCTACAGACACCACCGTCTCCATCAAAAGGACTCAATGCTACAGACACCACCGTTTCCATCAAATGTATTCAATGCAAATGCATTTCTCACTGAGGAAGGTGTGCTACCTGGCTACAATTTTAACATTCATAGAGTTGCTAATCTTCGGTGATTTTGATTTTCAAATTTGTAACACTATACCAATCAAGAAATGAGGCATGAAGGACAACCCTGCAATATAATTATAATTTAGTTCAGTGCACGTAGTCTCGCTTGAACCGTTAAAATATTGTAAGTCAGAACCAGTTTTGATGAAGAAAATTCGAGCAAGTAATAGATGCTTTAATAATGTTAAGTGAAGGTTAACTATTTTATAGAAATTCATAAAAATCGTGCCCACACGTTTTAGAGGAATGAATTTCCATTTTCTTTTTTAAAATGTGTTGTTAAGGTTTGCATTCATTAAACACTCAGAAAAAACGAGATTGAGCATGCAGCGTTGGACCATAAAAGAGCGTATAGTTCTTCAGCGATTCCCTTTGGAGAGTTTTTTTTCAAATATAAAAAAAGATTAAAATTTGTTTCTATTGATTGTAAAGAACTTCAACTGGATTATGGAATGTTAAACTGGCATATGTGGATAAACATGACAATGGACACCACGCGACTTTTGCAAGATTGTAACGTAAAATTGTGGCAACCGGAAGTGTGCTGGACAACGTACGGATGCAAAAACACTAGATGAGTACTTGGCGACATGTCAGACATATTGCTTGATATTACTTGAGAGGGGTCACTATCGCTGTTGCAACTTCTTTGACCACCAGCGGTAACCTATCAGCGCACAAAATCCCATAATCGGCTTCAAAAAATAAGTTTGCCTGCAAGAAGGCCATTTGTAAGTGTTGTGTTGAAATGAAGACATCAGTAAATTCGACTGTAGTAGGCAATTTAGATTTACTCGGGCCAATGAGACATATGCTGTATTTGCAAATGAAAATATTGAGTGGTGTGTCACCACTTTCCTTTCTAGAGTCTACTTCGATGTGCCCTGCTCTTTGTGATCTTCTCCTTCTTCTGCCAGGTGAATCTACATACTCCCTTCTAACTACACGAATAATTCTCACAGACCCCCACTTAGCCTATTAGAGTATTTCTCTTTAGTTTTCAATTTTTCAACTCTTGATCTGCTGGAATTCCCAGATGCTTTATTTCCTTTTATTTGATTATTGTGTGAAGTGTATCTTTTGATACCCAATCCGTGATATGGTATTTCTTGAGACCAATCACTTCCTGATATATTGAAAGGATGATCTGTTTCACTCTCTTTCAGGTGTTGTCAGCCGTGTTTCCTCTTCTTCTTGATGCTGGAGAATTTGAGGTATGTTCTTAACTGTGATCTTATACTCCACTTGTTTGAACCTAACCATTTTTTTTGTAAATTTTAGTTCCCACAGGGCTGCGACTAGATGGTGATTAGAAGCTGTGTATGCCCCTCTCCTTACTCGAGGTATGAATTTTAGCTATGCACACACGGTCTATTTTATTTTCTGATTTATGGTCTTACCCATGTTGCTTTGTTTATGTCTGTGTGGAAACATCATACCACATATAACATTTTGTTACAGGCTCACTCTTCTGTCAGTCCCAACTCAGTCTTATTCCTTTTTATGCCATGTTTTTGCTACAGGTTCACTCTTCTGTCAGCCTCAATTCAGTCTTATTCCTTTTTACGCCATGTTTTCCAATTACCTCTTCATTTCCAAAGATAAAGTGGGCTTCAAAAGGAGCTGCGTCAATCCTTTGCACATATACATTTACAGAGAAAATCTTTTTCACGAATAAGAGAGACAAATGCTTATAAATTTATATTTTTTTTTTATTTTTTGGTCTCTAGTACTTTATCCATCAACAATTATTCATCGGTACTTTGTAACTGTACTGATCTTGGAGATCAAACGTGGGCTGCAAACTGCTCTAAACGAAATATAAATTCCATGCCAATATTTCAGGAGAATGTTTCAAAGATACTGTGGAATCATCATTGTTCGTGGGGGATCAATGTTCGTGGGTCACCCTTACCCACGAATTTACATCCCCACGAACAATTTTTTTGTCAACTGATTAATTAAATCTACCAAATAAACGAGCTGCCCACGAAATTACATCCCTACAAACCAATAAAATTTTGCTTGCCCACGAACATTGACCCCCACGAATTTAAATGATTCCAGAGTAGACCTTAGCCACAACAACTTAAATTTCTCCCCCGTTGCCAACAGTTCTTAAGGAACTAAACTTATATAAAAATACGATTAAATCAGTTTCTATGCATGCTTTTCATAATCTCACCCAAGTAGAGTTTCTGAATTTGGCTAAAAATGAGTTGAGGTGGGACTATTCACCAAAGCTAAATTCACTAAATACCCCACAAACCTAAAGGATTGGACATTTTAAGTTATGTTGACTTTAAACGTAACGCATCTTATCCCATCGGTATATACAGAGATCTGAGGAAGCTAGAGTCATTGAAAATAGATGGTCTTTTGACCAGTTTGACTAATCTCATCGTTTCGGCAAAAAACAGGAAAATATTACTTCAAAAAACTTTACAAGGGTTTCTTTGGAGGTTTACCAAACTTAAAGATTCTAGACCTGACATGGTTTCCAATTCGTTCTATAGACAAGGGAGTATTTAGCTCTGTAGCAACCGCTAATGATAAAACGCCGCTTAATGATGGAGATATCATTAAGCGTTGCAATGCAACACTTAATGAAATATATGGAGATAACGAACAGTATTCAAGCTCAAAAGTCCATTAAACAATACAAAATAGGAGCAGAGCAAACACGGACCTCTAAACATCAGAGGTGGGATCAGGTGCCATGGAGGAGTGAGCATCCCCTGCCGACCGGTCACACCCGCCGTGTGCTGCTTGTCATGATGTAATAAATTATTGCATTAATAGTTGACA